TCATCAGGTCCGTCACCAAATCCATCATCAGGTCCATCATCAAGTCCATCACCAGGTCCATCATCAAGTCCGTCATCAGGTCGTCACCAAGTCCATCATCAGGTCCGTCACCAAGTCCGTCACTAAGTCCGTCATCAGGTCTGTCACCAAGTCCGTCATAAGGTCCATCACCAAGTCCATCATCAGGTCCATCACCAGGTCCGTCATCAGGTCCATCATCAAGTCCGTCATCAAGTCCATCACCAGGTTCATCACCAAGTCCATCATCAGGTCCGTCACTAAGTCCGTCACCAGGTCTGTCACCAGGTCCATCATCAGGGCCACCACCAGGTCCGTCATCAGGTCCATCATCAAGTCCGTCATCAAGTCCGTCACCAAGTCCATCATCAGATCCGTCACCAATTCCGTCATCAGGTCCGTCACCAGGTCTATCACCAGGTCTATCACCAGGCCAGTCATCAGGTCCATCACCATGTCCGCCACCAGGCCAGTCACCAGGTCCGTTACCAGGTCCGTCACCAAGTCCATCATCAGATCCGTCACCAAGTCCATCATCAGGTCCATCACCAGGTCCGTTACCAGGTCCGTCACCAAGTCCATCATCAGGTCCATCACCAGGTCCGTTACCAGGTCCTTCACCAGGTCCATCACCCGGCCCATCAGCAGGTTCTGGCTCATCATGAAGTTGTGAAAAATGAAGGTCTGCTCAGCCCAAACAGCTGCAGCAGGATTTGAGGACAGAACCTTACCTTCCCATCAGACAGCAAGAACTTCTGCCTAATGGGATGGTCACCAACCTGTCTGTCTGAACGTCAACCTGTCTGTCTGAACATCATCCTGTCTGTCTGAACATAAATACAGAAGAAATGAACTTCTCAGGCTTTAGTAAGTTTAACTGTGCAGTACAAAATTCCAAAAATTGGACCTGCAGAACCTTGATGGTTCTGCCTGAACAGCCCGTCTCACCTCCACAAAGTAGAAGCATGGCAGCAGAGTCAGACTGTCCTTTGGAGGTTTCTTCTTCATCTTCTCTGTGGTGGAAGAGGCCATCATCATCATCCTTGGTGTCCTGTAAGATAAAAACACACAACAAACTGAGGCTTTGCTCAGAGTAATGAGGACATTGCTCCAGTCCGGCGCGGTGAAGAATGAGCTGAGGTATGAGCACAGGTAAAACTTTCTGTTTACTGGTCTGGCTAAGGTCCAACTCTTACCTGTTGTCCTGAGGTTTGGATCAGGACTGAAAGAACCAAATCCTAGATCCAAGAAGTTGAAATTATCTTTCAGCCGGTGGGAGGGGCTCAGCCTGAGAGACCGGGTGAGGAGCTCCGTCATCTGGTGGGGATGGGGAACTTCGTCATAGCAGAGCTGACCTGCTGCTCCTCTGGAGGCAGAAGGCTCGAGGCACGTCCCACAGAGAGGAGACCCTGAGCAGACCCAGATCTCTCTGCAGGGATTGGTCTGGGAGCACCATGGACGACCAGAAGACTTGGAGAGTGTCGCTGGGGAGGGGGACAAATCTAGGAGGACAGAGTTTTTGTCCTGGGCTAGCAGCTTCCAAGACTCAACCGCAGACAGTGTGAATGATGATGGACCTCAGGTTTGTGATTTATTTCAGGATGATAAAGTTTTATTTCTTCTGTTTCCATGGCAACATGAGGCAGGATGCAAAGACACCACCGGCGCTGAGTGACCCAGCAGAACATTGGACATCTGTAAAAGGTTCTGGTTCTTCATAAACTAAACCGAGGACAAGAACCTGGACTGGGCTTGTCGGGTCCACCTGAAGAGAAAACACAGGTGGTCCAGAGGATGGACCACAAGTGGTCCAAAGGATGGATCATTGGTTGTCCAGAGGACAGACCACCTCAGCTGTGTAACATTTGTTTAATTGGACTAAGACAAACGAGAGAGAGAGAGACAGGTGACAGACAGGTGAGACAGACAGCTGTGCGAGAGACAGACTGCGGACAGACAGGTGAGAGACAAGACAGGTGGACTGATGTCAGCGCGTGCAGGTTCTGGCTTCGCGGATCGGAACCATCCTAAAAATGTTCGGCTCTGATTCTGTGGTGCAGCGCGGGGACGCACGCGCACACGCAGCACTCTCTGTCCATCTTACCTCAGATCACAGACTGCTGCAGAACCGGAACCAGCCGGACCCGCTGAAGAACCTGACCCGTTTGTCCCGGTTCCGGTCCACTCGGTCCTGCTTCGGATTCAGTTCTTGCCAGCTTCCGCAGATTTGAGACCCAAACCCCAAAACCTGCCGTCTCGTGTCTGCTGCTACGAGAGCGCGCATGGGCGTGTGCACGAGAAAATGAGGCAGAGAGAGAGAGAGAGAGAGAGAGAGAGAGGGGTTGGGTGAGACACATTGAGACAGACAGGTGGACAGACAGACAGAGTACCATATGGAGCATTCTGAGCAGGACTGATGGAGGCTTCTCTTCACCTTTCACCCCCCAAGTTAGACCGGCTTTCACCCATGCAGGTCCGAGACCAGGTGCATGTCTGTGACCCTCCAGGTCCTGAGTTTTGTTTAATTAAATCTGATTTTTAACCAAATCTGATTTTTAACCAAATCTGATTTTTAACCATTCTTCTTCTTCTTCTTCAGACGTCGCCATGGTGAGAGAACCAACAACTGGTTTTTCGGGATGCTGACCCGCCTCAGTCCACATGTGGAGCACAGGGCTGCCATCTTAGGCCCTGGAGTTAAGGTCCCAGACTGGGTGCTTCACCTGTCCCACCCTAATTTTGAAGTGCCTGTCGGGGGATTTGAACCAGCGCCCTCCTTTTCTAACCTTTATGATAAACAGGAAGTGCTACAGCCTGAGACGGTCTGCTCATCCTCAGAGACAACCAGACCTGAGGCAGAGCCTACCAAAGTCCAAAACCCCACCTCCTGCGGACCTATGCTGTACCTGGACTATCACCTGGAGGTCAGGGGTCACTGGACTATCACCTGGAG